AGGAATGCCTCATGCCAGCTCATAAGGAAGGCATTATTCTCGTTCACATTCTATGGGTGAAGGAACTGAGGATTAGTAAGCAGATAAGTAAAGGATGGAATAGCTTGCTGTTGAACTCTCATCTATCTAACTTTAAATTTGTATAATTTATCTATAGTCAATACTGTCAGGAAACTGGAAATCAGATAACTCACCGGAAGAAGAAATAAGCATGCAAATTTTCCTCCCTGGAATGTAGAGCTTCCCTGACAATAAAGGACAAGAAAGAATAGTTCTCTGAGCTTACCTTTCTCATTCTGGGGTAAGGATAATAGCTTAAATTCTGGTCACCCATGTGAATACTTTTACAGAAATAAATTTCATATATAACAACGTGGGAACATAGTTTCTGCCCCCGCATTTCTTTCTCCGTTTTGTGCATGTTATACAAAAAAGGGAGAAGAGAAATAATAAAAATTAATGGAACACCTTTTGATACCAAAACATATATTTTATTGGACTATTTGCTTGTTAGAACGTATCTTAAATGTTTATAATTCTACAGAGGTGTAAAATAGTGGATTTTGAACAAGTACAATTTTCCACTTACTAATATTTTATTACTGTCTTCATTGCACACTGAGGAACTATTTCCATTAAGTTTCTGAGAAATGAAATGCACGTGCATTTCAACTTCAAATAAATTAGCATGTGTGCATGTTTTCCTTAGACGTTTTTGAACAAGGAGCAAGGTGTGAGTGAAATAGGTGTGAGCAAGGTGTGCCCAGTTTTAGTGCAGAAAGCCATTTTTGTGATGTTAGAATAAAATAAGAGTGCTAAAGAAAGTCTGATTATAACTGTATCTTTAATGGTTATTGGAGGAAACGTTACTTATATACTGTGGTTACAGCATTTTACACCATTTCATTTTCTAAATTATTTTACCAAGTTACTTTAAGAGCTCTATTTTTTTCCATATGTTGTCTCTTCCCAAAATTTCAAGCAGGAAATTTTCTTATACACAAAGCCAAGTCTTAATCTGTTGTGGGTAATTTGTACTTGAAGTAGAGTGTACAGCAAAATTTAACCAAGATTTTATTTCTGGGAACTAATTCTCCTCTTGGGCAATAAACAGATAATAATTATCCATTATTACTCATTGTAGAAGAATAATATAAATGTAACCCACTTAGGGACCCAAAAAGTATTTTACAAAATATTTAGTGGTACTTAACAGAATTAGTTGAAATGGGAAACCTGTAATCATTTGAGGTATTTTGGCATTGTAGATAATCAAATCTGAAAATCAAGCACTTAAATGTTCAAATTGTTGTTTGCATATGTTGCAAAAATTTAATGGTAAACATGAGTCTAGGGTTAAAATTTCTAATTTTACCTTTCTCATATTATTATTTTGCTACATGCGGAAAGATGACTTTTACCTTTCTCATTCTGGGGTAAGGATAATAGCTTAAGATGAATTTTAGAAATTATCTATTTGCTCTGAGTGTGTGGTATTCTGCTGCATTCTTCAAACCAAGAAGTGTAAGCCCTCATCAGTATGATCCATTTTTTCCCCATTTTGCATGTTTCTTTACGTGCATGTGTAAAAGAAAGGACAGTATAAAAAAGCATGGTGTTATGAGA